TCTCTCTCTCTCTCTCTCTCTCTCTCTGTGTGTGTGTGTGCGTGTGTGTGTGTGTGTGCGTGTGTGTGTGTGTGTGAGTGCCTTCTCTGTTCTATCTATGGTGCAGCTACTGCTATGGGGTTCTGTGCCTGTTGACTACAAGCTATCCAGTCGCTATCTCTGACTGCCTCACCCATCTCAGTTTTTGACACAGCGGTGCTCTCACAACAAGCACAAGTGGAATGAATCATTGAGGCAACAGCTGCTATGCGATTGTATGTGAAGATTCAGTTTCCAGCTCTTGGACCTGCGGGTTCGGTTGACTGGGTACCTTGCCGGCTTAGGTCTTTTGGCCTTTGACATTTCTGGAATGTTCGCTCGCCTCCCTGGGACCCTAGGCTGCTGACTTTACCCGGGGACTGGACTGTCTGGGAGGGCTTACCGGACTCCTATGCTAGGCTGACTCTACCTGGGGCTGAACTCACCGGACTATAGGACACACAGCAATATTACCCCTGGACTGGACATACCCTACCAACTGCGTAGTGCGGACGTGCTGAGACTGCAGTTCCCTTGCAGTCCCGCCGACCCGGTCTCGAGGTCCACCATTGAAACTTACTCTTCTTCATTATCTACCATTCTGATTCCTTTCAGCTTCTTTCCTAGCAAGTGACCACCTTAGGAGCAGTTTGTACTGACTGTTTCTTTGGGAACCACCTTTTGTTATCTGACTCCCGAAACTGAAATCACACCTTAGACTACTTGTAGGGTTGCCCTTTTCCACCTGTTCGAAATGTTTCATGCTTGCAGATGCTGTCCAGGTCATATGCACCGTCCATATGAGGTGGTATCATGGATGTACACGAGGGAATTGTTCTACTGGTGACAGCAGGTCAGTTGGTACATCAATGACATATGATGGACTATCATCAGATCCTAGACCCTAAACCCTAAACCCCAAAAGCGAAACGTCAGTCTTGCAGGGTCGCCTCCCCAAAACCCGACAGGGCAAAAAAAGACCCTGGTTGAAACGCTGTACTTGGGCCTTAGCCTCAGCCCAGGCTGTCTGACAGTGTCTCATGCGACAGCGTCATGCAGAAGCGTGTTCGTTTCCTGACACCTTTTGATTTGTCGTTGCTTTAGCGGCTTAGAAGTCAGATGCAGTGTCTTATGTCTTACGATTAGTGAATGGATGATTCCTTCCATCATTTACTGTCTAGAAGTGTTTCATCTTTCAAGCTGGTAATGTGTAATGGATGAATGATTGCTTGCTGTTGGTTTCCAGATTCGGGTTCTTGGTGCTCCTTCGGCATGCAGTTGTTTACTCACTGTATTCGCTGTTGTTGATTGTTCTGGGATGCTTGAAGGCTGTGAGTGCAGTGTTCAATGAATTCCGCTATGTGTTGTTTGCCCCAGTAAGTCATGCTACTGGGAGACAGGTTGCACTCCATTTCTTTGAGCACGTTTTGGGGATGGACATGGCGTTTCATCTTGAGAGGAAGACAGGGTCCCTAGCAAAGATACTCGATCGTGGGAAGCGCAGCGTCGCAATGATTTTTCGGGCTGTAGGTTGGTACGTTGGAAGCGGACCATGCCCAAAGGATGACGTGTTGTCTCGGTTTGTTTGCTTGCCTTTCGAACATGTGACAGAGAACACCCTGTCTTCACATTCCCGTTGCACCTACTCCCAATGCTCTGAAACCAAAGGCCTATGGGTGGAAGAAATCTCCACAGAACGAAGTTCCAGTTCGTTCTGCATTCCTCCTCATCAACCTCCTACTACATCCTCCTCCGGCAACTTTCCATCTTTACGGTTGAATTGTTGAGAAACAGGAGTCAGGAGGACAATAACGACAGGGGTTGCAGAGAGGGTAAAAGGAGAAAAGGGAGGAGGAAGTACAAGAACACATGGAAGGGCACCTAGATTCTCACCTTCGGTGGTTGTGGCACAACGTCCACCTCCTCCAGCTCCTCCTGACCTTCCTCACCGTCTTCCTCAGTCATTGTTGTCATCCATAGCTCTGGTGATGTCAAAGTGCTGCAATGGGTGTGGCGAAGTCATTGCTTACTACCACGTAGCTATTACTCAATGTCGTAGAGTAGATTTCATTGGTGTTTGTAGCGGGGCATGGCAGGGGTGCTTGCAACTCCCCCATGCTTTTTATTCTGTGTTGGTCAGGACGCACTTGTTGATTTGTGATGACTGCCCTTCCTTTTGTGAGTCGGCTCCTTTTGGGTGGTTTTATCTCCAGAGGTTTCAATGATGCGCCAATTCAATTGGCAGGCCTCTCAAGTGCTGCCTGAAGTCCTGAGTCCACTGGCACTGACCTGAGACCAGTGAAAATGTCGACGCAAGGCTTCAAGCATTATCTTATGATGCTGGCTTGGAAAAAACATTGAAAAGGCAAGTTTGTTCCCAACGTTGCAACAGAACTAAATAATGCAAAGTGGAAGAAAGAAGTAGGGAAGAACATGCGTCCTAAAATGCCAACGAGATGTAAAGTTGTCTCGCTGAATTCTTTCTCATCTCATATTGCTCAATTTCGAACAATGGACCAGTTTCTGAGAATCACCCCGGCAGCCGCACAACAAGATACCCTCTCTGTCTCTGTCTCTGTCTCTGTCTCTGTCTCTGCCTGTCTGCCTGTCTCTGTCTGCCTCTCTCTCTCTCTCTCTCTCTCTCTCTCTCTCTCTCTCTCTCTCTCTCTCT